ATTCAGTGAATTCTTTTATCATATTCATCATTGTTCTTTTGAGTTCCATGTCCTGCATTGTCTCTAGGGGATTCTCATTGTGCTCCTCTAGAGGATTACTGGTATTTGGTGGGGATATGTTATTTTGGTTTTTCATGTTATTATTTTTCTCTGTGACCTTGACATGTGAATTTCTTTTGTAGTTTCTGATTCTTGTGTGAGATTCAAGCCTTCAAGTTTATGTCTGCTTCTTTTTGTATACGTTATGTGACTTTGTGATTTACTTGTTGGGCATGAAAAGCTGGTAGATCTAGGCTTCCTGTTCTCTCTTTTGATTTTATACTGGAGTGGCAGAATTGCTTTCACCTTCAAGAGTCCCCACAGAGGCCCAAGTCAGATGAGGATTCTGATTCTTGTGTGAGATTCAAGCCTTCAAGTTTATGTCTGCTTCTTTTTGTATACGTTATGTGACTTTGTGATTTACTTGTTGGGCATGAAAAGCTGGTAGATCTAGGCTTCCTGTTCTCTCTTTTGATTTTATACTGGAGTGGCAGAATTGCTTTCACCTTCAAGAGTCCCCACAGAGGCCCAAGTCAGATGAGGATCAGATGCTCTCATGCTTTCTCCTGAGATCTATATCCCTCCAGGAAAGATGTTGTCCTCAGGAATTTGGGGGTTGAACTGGCCTGGGAGCAGTACCCAGGAAAATGGTGCTCTGGGGCAAATGGTGGCATTGCCACCCAGGGAAGCAGAAGGAGGTGAAGGTGAGACCAGGCCCAGGGGGCTCCTGGGAACCCTGAGAAGGCGCTGGGTTGGTCTGGATGCAAGGAATCAGGAAGCAGTGGTGGTTCTGGGCTGAGAGGTCAGCCCCAGTGTCTGGGGTGCCAAGACAAGAACTGGGCCAGTACCCAGGCTAGGAGGAGAGATGGGGCAGTGGAGGTGGAAGGGTGAATGAGGCTGGGGGTGTCAAGGTGGGTGGGAGCCTCTGGATTTACCCAGAAGAGAGGCTGGTGGGTTGTGCAGCCCAGGGAAGCAGCTAATCGTTCTTCTACATGTAGCTATCCAGTTTGACCAACATTTATTGAAGATGCTGTGTTTTCTCCAATGTGTATTTTTGGCCCCTTTGTCAAAAATCAGGTGACTATAGGAGTGTGAGCTTGTATACAGGAGCCTCTAGTTCTATTCCATTGTTCAACGTGTCTGCTCTTATGCCAGTGTTTCCATGATCTTATGTCACCATGAGTACTATGTGAAAGCAGAGTGATGGCAGGCAGGGACAGAAAACAGGAAGCAAGCCAAAGAGGAAGAGGATGACATGAAAAGCAACCATCTCAGAACTGGCCTAGAGGACCATTTCAGGAATGTCAGCCTGTTGCTCCTAGACCTTGAGATGTTTTCTAGGTTGTATGAAACCTTTGGTGGTTTGTGCTACCTCTAGTAAAGTTCTGTTACTTCCTTTGAACACAGGCATCACCTGCTTCCTGAGTTTTGTCCAGTGGGGATTTCTGCACTAAGGGAAATGCACATTTCCACACTGTGGACTGACTGCTGGCACAGAGGTACACTGCTGAGTCTCCTGCTTCAGAGGTCTTGATTTCCAGGCTGCATGGTGAGTCTGAAGGACATTCTGCTGAGAATCGCTCCTTGAACCCATCTATTTGGTCAAGCATTTCTTGACTACGAAAGTAAACCAAAAATTTAATTTCCTTGTCCTGGTTCTGCTGATACCAGTAAATAGCAGTGTGCCCCCTTTCTGGACCACAGCTCATCTTTGCTTTCTGTCCTTTCTCTTTGACCAGATGTCTTGGAGTCTGGGTAACTTTGGCATCGAAAGAGCCTAGAAGAGAAGCATACAGAAGATGGGAACACAGCCCAGCAGAGGCCCTGACAAGGATAAAGGATTAGTTCTGGAATTAACAAACTAAGGACAAGGAGTTTTCTTTTTAACTCGGGTCTCACCTGCCCCCAGGAGACAAAGCACTGAACAGCAGAGAAGTCTTGTGCCCATGGTCACAATAAAGCAGCAAAGGATGAGATGTTTTCATGCTTCATCAGTAACCTTCCTGTGATGTCATCTCTTGCAGACTCAATCACTATATTACTTCAAGTTGCCACCAACAGCACATGGTATCTATCAGAGGGAGAGCTTTGCCCCACATCAGTAAATGTAAGTTGTTGACCACTCATTCAAAGCATTATATATACAT